ACAGCTCCGTTCCCACCCTTTTTGGTTCTTGATGTCACAAAATTAAATCTTTATACATTTTGTGCTCCAAAACATAAATTAATCATTCTTTTAAAGGCATTAGTCTCCTAAATTATGTAGTAAACAAGATTTGGAGTTTCAAACCAGAGTAACAATAATACTAGCTTTCATACTAAAAAGTTTTTTGATTTTCTTTAAATCATGTAGAAAACAAAAAGTACAGTTACAAACCCTCATTACAATAATACTAGCTTTTATAATTGCTCATGTGTTTACATTTATTGAGATCTTTATTTCTCCAATAGGCTTTGAATTAGTGTCTAGTGTCTTTTCATTTCATTGTGCAGGACTCCCTTGAGCATTTCTTGCAGAACAGGTCCAGTGATCATGAACTCCCTCAGCTTTTGTTCATCTGGGAATGTCTTGATTTCTCCCTCACTTTTGAAGGACAGTTTTGCCAGGTATAGGATTCTTGGTTGACAGGTTTTTTTCCTTTGAGCACTTTGAATGCATTGGCGTACTGTCTTCTGGCATCCAAAGTTTCTGATGAGAACCCTTCAAGTAATCTAACTGAGGATCCTTTGTGTGTGATAATTTGCTTTTCTCTTGCTGTTTCAAGATTCTCTCTGTCTTTGTTTTTTGAAAGTTTGATTATAATTTGTCTTTGAATTCCTCTTACTTGGAGTTTGTTGAGCTTTTTGGGTATTTATATTCATGTCTGTCATCAAATTTGGGAAGTCTTAAGCCATTAGTTTTTCAAATATTCTCTCTGCCTGTTTTTCTCTCTCTTCTCCTTCAGACTCCCACAATGCATATGCTAGGCCACTTGTTGGTGTCCTACAGGCCCTTTAGGCTCTAGACACTTTTCTTCAATCTTTTTTTCTCTCTGTTCCTCAGAGTTGATAATTTCCATTGTTCTATTTTCAAGTTCATTGATTCTTCTGCTTGTTCAAATCTGCCTTTGAATCCCTCTAATGAATTTTTCATTTCAGTTATTGTACTTGTTAGCTCTAGAATTTCTTTTGTTTTCTTTGTAGGTTTTCTGTGTCTTTATGATATTTCCATTTTGTTCATATGCCATTTTTGACTTTTTCCACATCTTTCTTTATTGCTCTGAGTGTCTGTTAGACATTTGTTTTAAAAGTCTTTGTCTAGTAGATCTGACATCAGACATTTTTCAGGGATAGTTTTGTTGATTTATTTTATTTGAATGAGCCATACTTTCCTGTTTCTTTCAATGCCTTGTGATTTTTTGTTATTGTTGAAAACTGGACTTTTGAATCTAGTAATGTGATATTTCTGGAAGTCAGATTTCCCAAGATTTGCTGGGTTTTGTTGTTATTTTGTTTGTTTTTTATCTTGTAGGGTGTCTCTATGCCCAGGATCATTCTGACATGTAAACATAAGGTCTTCTAAGGTCTTTTCTAAACCTGTGCCTTTCCCTGGGCATTTATAGTCTCTTTCTAATTTTCCCTGCATATGCATTTGCTTTTGAACATCCCAGTCTTTAGTGTCTGGCTCCCAAAAGAGACAAAAGAGAATAATAGGGGGTGGAGAGAAACAATCCAGCCCTTTAAGTTCTCTGGAAGTCACTTCAGCCACACATGGAGGGGCATGCAACAATAGGTGGAAGTACAGTGACACTGGCTGCCCTCTTTGTCTTCACTTCTGCAGTCAGAAGCAGCAATCACCAGTTAGAGCACAGATCCCCAAGATTTGGAGGACAAGGGTCCTTTTTGCCCATGCTGGCTCCCACAAGCTGTGTGCAAGCTGCTCCAGGAACACGTGCACAGCTGCTTGCTTCAGGGTGGAGGTGGGCAATGGGTAGCTGCTACTCTGCTAACAGCTGAAGTTGACCGAAATTAATCACAATTCAATGTCCAAGCCTTCTTTTGGAAGTTGCAAGCCTTCAATAGATTCCAGAGTTCCAAAATAGTTACCTGAGACAGATTCCACCAATGGCGAGCAGATTCCTGGGGCTTCCTACTCCATAATCTTCCCAGAATTCTCTCTGAAGTTAATATTTTTCTACGTAGTATGAAGGAGGGGTCCAGTTTCATTCTCCTGCATGTTTTGTCCAGTTGTCCCATCACCATTTGTTAAAAAGACTATTCTTTCCTCATTGAATTGTCATGGCGCTTTTGTGGAAAATCATTTGACCCTATATGCGATGGTTTATTTCTGGCTTCTTTATTCTATTTTATTAGTCTATATGTCTGTTTTTATGCCAGTGCCACACTGTTTTGATTACTATAGCTTTGTAATAAATTTTGAAATCAGGAAGTGTGAGTCCTCCAACTCTGTTATTTTTCAAGATTGTTTTGGCTATTCTGGGTCCCTTGCATTTCCATGTGAATTTTATTTTATTTTATTTTTTTTTAAGATTTTATTTTTATTTATTTTTTCCCCCCAAAGCCCCAGTAGTTGCATGTCACAGCTGCACACATCCCTCCAGCTGCTGTATGTGGGACCCGGCCCCAGGATGGACGGAGAAGTGGTGCCTCGGCGCCCTCCCGGGACCCGAACCCGGGCCACCAGCGTCAGAGCGCGCGCACTTAACCACCAAGCCACGGGGCCGGCCTCCATGTGAATTTTAGGATCAGCTTGTCAATTTATGCATTAAAGGCAGCTGGAATTTTAATAGCAATTACTTTGAATCTGTAGATCAATTTGGGTAGTATTGACATGTTAGTAATGCTAATTCTTCTGATTCGTGAACACATCTTTACATTTATCTAAGTCGTCTTTAATTTCTTTCAATAATGTTTTGTGGTTTTCAGCGTACAAGTCTTACACTTATTTTGTTAAATTTATTACTAAGTATTTTCTTGTTTTTGGTGCTATAGTCAGTCAGATTCCTTAATTTCATTTTTCTGATTGCTCTTTGCTAATGTATAGAAATACAACTAATTTTTATATATTGATCTTGTATCTTGCAATCTTAGAACTCATTAACTAGCTCTATTAGTTTTTTTGTGGATTCTTTAGGATTTTCTGTATACAAGATCATGTCATCTGCAAAGAGAGATTGTTTTCCTCCTCCTTTTTCAAATCTGATGCTTTTATTTCTTTTTCTTGCCTAATTGCCCTGGCTAGAACCTCCAGTACAATGTCAAGTAGATGTGAAAGCGGACACCTTTGTCTTATTCCTGATCTTAGCGAGAAAGCTGTTAGTCTTTTACTATTAAGTATTATGTTAGCTGTGAATATTTTTGTGTGTATGTGTGTGAGGAAGATTAATGCTAACATCTGAGGCCAATCCTCTTCTTTTTGCTGAGGAAGACTGGCCCTGGGCTAACATCCGTGCTCATCATCCTCCACTTTATATGGGATGCCGCCACAGCACGGCTTGACAAGCAGTACATCAGTCCGCGCTCGGGATCCGAGCCTGTGAATCCCAGGCCGCTGCAGCAGAGTGCGTGAACTTAACCGCTATGCCACCGGGCTGGCCCTAGCTGTGAATATTTTATCGATACTTTTTATCAGGTTGAGAACTTTCCTTCTATTCCTATTTTTTTGAGTGTTTTAATCATGAAAAGATGTTGGATTTTGTTAAATGATTTTTCTGTGTCAGTTGAGATGATTGAAATGATGTGGCTTTTGTCCTCTATTCTTTTAATATAGTGTATTACATTGTTTGATTTATATGTTGAACCAAGTTTGCATTACTGGGATAAATCCCACTCTGGTCATGGTGTATAATCCTTTATATGCTTCTGGGTTTGGTTTGCTAGTGTTTTGTTGAAGATTGTTGCATCTGTACTCATAAGGAATATCTGTCTGTAGTTTTCTTTTCTTTTGATATCTTTGTCTGGTTTTGGTTTCAGGTAATAATGGTCTCATAGAATGAATTAGGATGTGTTCCCTTCTCTTCTATTTTTTGGAAGCATTGTAAAGCATTGGTTGATGATATACTTTTTTTTTTTTTAGAAATACGCTTTTATTTATTTATTCCCCCCCCCCCCAAAGCCCCAGTAGATAGTTGTATGTCATAGCTGCACGTCCTTCTAGTTGCTGTATGTGGGACGCGGCCTCAGCATGGCTGGAGAAGCAGTGCGTCGGTGCGTGCCCAGGATCCGAACCCGGGCCTCCAGCAGCGGAGCGCATGCACTTAACCGCTAAGCCACAGGGCCGGCCCCCATGATATACTTTTATTCAAAGAAAAATAACATCTCCCCACTTCAGGTACCCAGGTGACATTCAGAACCTTGAACCTTGCCTTTGGTAGGTATTAACTAAATTATAGACCCTTCCTTTTTTTTGTGAGGAGATCAGCCCTGTGCTAACATCTGCCAATCCTCCTCTTTTTTCGCTGAGGAAGACTGGCCCTTGGCTAACATCCGTGCCCATCTTCCTCCACTTTATATAGGATGCCACCACAGCATGGCTTGCCAAGCGGTGTGTCGGTGCATGCCAAGGATCCACACCGGTGAACCCCGGGCCGCACACACTTAACCACTTGCACCACTGGGCCAGCCCCTATAGACCCTTCATTTACTGATGGACTTTTACCAGCCCCATCTCAGTGGGGCTGGGAGGTTGCCAGGACTCTTTCACAAGTACTAATCCCAGTAGTTTTCAGTGTAATGCTGGTTCTGTTTGCCATCCTCTACAATGTTGAGAGCCCTTCTTCTGGAAACTGTTATCTTAAAGGAATGTTTTACAGCTGGTTTTGGAGACAGTGAAAAAATTCAAAGATCATCGTTAAAAAGTTATTTTGGTAGCTTTTTATTTTATTAAAGTCGTGCAGAGCAGATTTGAAAATTCCTTCGTTTTTTTCTTGCATTTTTAATATTAGAAACAGCTATTTTAAAATTCTGTTTTCTAAGGGCCATCCTGTGGCAATATGTCATTGATTCTTTTGTCATTGAGGGTTCATACTCCAGAACTACACAACTTTATCACTCAAAGCCACAGTGAAAGCAAGAGGCATGGTCCTGAGGCCACCACTGGGCATCTCTCTGAACCCCCTTGTGATCCAGCCCGCTTCTCGCCCACAGGTACCACGTACACAGACCTCTCAGCCGGAATCTCCAGGGATGACCAGCCCCTCCCCGCGCATCCAGATAATCTCCACCGACTCTGCGGTAGCCTCACCTCAGCGCATTCAGGTACCTGCACCAGTCCCACTTGGTTCCAGTCACCTGCCCAAGTGCAGCCCTGCCTTTCCTGAATCCTTTCCAGACACAAACCTGCCTAAGAGTTTCACTAACAGTTGTGCTTCTTGGGCATCAAGTACAGTACAACTTCATTCCTTCATTAAAAAATAAAAGAAGAAAAAGCTGACATTTATTGAACTAACTTACTTTTAATGCAAAAGTCTAAATTGTTTCAAACTGTCAGGATGAAGTACATTTTATTACTTATGTGCTTCCAAATTGAGACGCAATATGTCCTAGTAGTTAAAAGTTTGGGCCCCCACTTACCCTACTTTGTAGCTTTTTTGACCTTGGAAAATTAACTTTTCAGTGCATCACTTTTTTCATTTTGAATATGTACACAATACTAGTACTTACCTCGTTAGGTTATTGTGAGGAATCAGTGGGATGTTGCTTGTAAAGTCCTTAAAACAGTGCCTGGCACATACCAATGTTCAGTATGTATTAATGATCTATATATAATAACTATTATTACTAGTATCGTTGTTACTGTTAACTAATTGATATTCACTTACGAGAAGTTTAGTCTTCCCCAGAGCTCTGAACCTGCCTCTGGCCCACTGAACAAAGGGAAGGTATGTGTATCAAAATCATGGTCAGCACTCTGGGAGGTAGGGATAATATATTGATGATACACAGATTAAAGATTCATAGTTATCTCAACAAGCTGAATCAAAAGGCCAAACCAAAAAACAAGAACAGAGATGAATGGCAAACTCATACATAACATGAGTTTGAGAGAATACCAGGGGTGGACAGGTATTTGAATGAAGAAGTAAAAGGATTGCTTTCATTTACTGTTTATTTCAAGCTCAGTGTAAGTGAACAGGGGCCAGCCCAGTGGTGCAAGTGGTTAAGTGCACGCGCTCCGCTGTGGTGGCCCGGGGTTCGCCGGTTCAGATCCCGGGCGCGCACCGATGCACTGCTTGTCGAGCCATGCTGTGGTGGCGTCTCATATAAAGTAGAGGAAGACGGGCACCGATGTTAGCCCAGGGCCAGTCTTCCTCAGAAAAAAAAGGAGGATTGGCATCAGATGTTAGCTCAGGGCTGATCTTCCTCACAAAAAAATAAAATAAAATAAGTGAACAGTATGATGTAGTAACCAGATAATTCTATAGTGTTTTCCCACTCTTAAAAGCGATTTTATGGACTAGCTATTATAAACTAACCATAGAAGAGTTCTAATAAGTAAAATGAAATAAGTTAAACATTGTATTTCCATGCTGTCTGTATTGTGTAATATTTTATCATAAATACAGAAGTTCATATACTTTTCATTATTTTAACTTCACACCAAGTAGGAAACACACATCTGAGTGTTTGGAAATTCAGAAGTAATGGGCCTGGCATTAATGAGGTTTTACCATTCCTCAGAATTAGGAACTTTATATAGCTAAATTACTTTTTGTCTTTTACTTTGTTCTTACTTGCTGATTATGACTTGAAAATGGGTCCTTTATAATTTTATGTAATAGTTATTAAGATCCTGCCTACATAACTCTTCTGACTCTGGGAAAGAAACTAACTGTGCATTTAACCATAGCTGTTACGTTTTCGTCTCAAAACCACCTGAGAGCAGATGAGAAAGTAGAAAGTTCCCTCAGGAGACTCTGTCAGTAGCTAGTGTATATATCAAAAGTGAGTGCACATTTCCCCCTGTATTGGTATAAGAATAATCTTTCTGTTTTGCTAAGGGCCATTCTAGCATCCCATTCCATAAATTGGGGCTATTCCCATGCCCTGGTGCTTGGCCCATGGTGACACTGCTGTCCTGGCTGGAATGCAGGAAGGTCCCGTGAGCAGAAGTCTTGTAGAATAGATCTTTGGTGTTGAGCTTTCAATCTCTAGGGGAGGAGGATAACCCTTGAGCATGAGTTTTATGTATAGTAAATATAGTTAAAAATCATTTCATTGTGAACTGTCAATAAAATTGGACATACCTAAGTGGAACTGAACTGACTGTATTTCAAGGTTTGCTTTTTTTTAAAGGAAAATTAAGGTTATAGGATGATTTCTGGGTTCTTGATGTTGGTGCTGATGGCCTCTATGAAGTTTTCGTTTCTAGCCCTGACTTTAGTGATGAATCTCCAATGCCCTGAGGCCTGGGAAGAGAATAAGTGCTATGATGTTTTCATGAATAACAATGCTTGGAATCCAAGTAGTGGCTTCTGTGATAAGGTTGGGAGGGAAAGATTATACAGTAAGGATGACAGGCTAGGCAACATTTAGGAGCTTGGCTTTGAATGGAACCAACTTAGGGTCAAATCTTGTCTCCACTCAGGTATGTGACCTTGGGGAAAGTTTCCAAAACCTCTATAGATGTAAAATGGCAACAATAATAGGACCTATTTAGGATTTTAAAAGGATTAAATGAGATAATGCCTATAAACCTATAGGAAGCAAATATCAATAAATGTTAGCAACTGAGTTATAATTTATTTTTTTTGAATTTTTTTAATGTTTTACTTTTATATAATTTCAACCTTATGGAAAATAGTGCATGAAAATCCTGTATACCCTTTACCTACATTCACTGATTGCTGTAACATTCTCAGTGTGTGTATGTGTATTTTTTCTGAATTGTTTCAGAATAAATTAGAGACATCACATGTCCTTGTCCTGGGTGCTTCAGTATGTGTTTCCTAAGAACAATGACATTTTCTTACATAATCACAATACAGTTTTCACAATCAGAAAATTTGATGTTGAAACATGCCATTATGTAATCCATAGTCTATATTCTATATTCTAAACTGTCATCACTTGTCCCAGTTAAGTTTTTTTTAGCTATTTTTCCCATTCCAGGATTTATGTTATTGTTTTTAATAATGATAATAATATAAGATGACAGCATAAGACCAACTTATCTAGTTATGCAGGCCAGTTGAGGGTGATCTGAAGCATAGACTTGTGTCCATCAGTATCTTGTCATCCTAATGGCCCCAAAAGGGCTTTGAGGCCAAGTGGGAAGGGTGGCAGTCCTCAGAGTTGGGGAGGAAGCCTTGTGGCTAGGGTTGAGAGCTGTTGTTTTTTGGGATACAGAGGTCTAGTGTGGGAACTGTGGGAGGAGATGGGGAAGATAAGAAAAACCATAGGAGAGCACCCACTTGTCTGAGAATGAGATTTAATTGAAGCCATCCAATCACAAAGTAACTTCTCAGTAAATCTCACAAGTTTTCATCATACGTAGTCTTTCTAGGCCAGAGGTTTTCAAATTGTGTTCTTTATTGCTTCCCAGATTACAAAAAACATTAGGTTCACATTTTATTTTTTATTTATTTATTTGATTTTTTGCTGAGGAAGATTCATCCTGAGCTAACATCCATTGCCAATCTTCCTTTTTTTTGTTTGGGGAAATTTGCCCTGAGCTAACAGCTGTGCCCATCTTCCTCTATTTTGTATGTGGGTTCCTGCCACAGCATGGCTGCTGACTAGTGGTGTAGGTCCACATGCGGGAACCAAACCTAGGCCACTGAAGCAGAGTGTGCTGAACTTAACCACTAGACCATGGGGCAAGCCCCTCAAATTTTATTTTTTAGTCTGCCTTTCAAAGAAATTAAGGTAGATTAAAAGAAAAACACACCTGAACATGTCATCTATCAAATTTGACACACTAGAGATCACTGGTACACTCACACGTACTGCTGTGTTCTTTCTGTTTGGGGCAAACCTTGGTATAAAGCTTCTCTTTCCCTCTCAGTGTATTTTAAGGACTTCCTGAGATATTCCTCCATACTTCCCATTTCAAATTTATGTTTTTCAGGAGAGCATCGTTTTACTCATTGTTTGACTTAAGGAAATGTTTAAATTTGAGCTTATAAAATACATTTATGTGACAAAATACTTCCTCTCTCTGCTTTACATGTTGAGGTTTCACATTTTACACGAAAGGACTTCTGCTGTTCATATATTTTTTAAAAGTTTGAAATCTTTATTATAGTCCCCAGGGGAAGACATCTTGAGCCCTTATAACACCCTCCCCTTCCCTACTTCTCTCTTCTACCAACTCTTTATTCCTGCACATCCCTTCTTTAAGCTGCCAGTGCCTGTTCTCTGCCCTATCCATGTCCACAACCATCTGATGTTTCCTTTCTCTCTCTGATGTTCTAGTGGCCCCTCTCAGGTACTCAACAACTCAGGTTGTTGCTTGTATTTATGTGCTGAAGGGGTGATAGGTGCACACCGTAACAAAATCACACCAAACAGGGTACAGAGTAAAAGATGAGTCTCCCTTCCTCCTTCTCCCCAAGTATCTCCCAAGAGGTAGCCACTGTTAACATATTGCTTATTTATTCTTTCAGAGACAGGCTCTGCATATACACCTACAAGCACACTTGTAAATACATACAGCATATTTTTACATGTGTGTCAACGTTCTGCTCACGCTGTTCTGTACCTTACTCTGTTTCTTAGCAACATCTTTTGGAGCTGGTTCTGTATAATATGAATAGAGCTGTCTCTCTCTCTTGAGTGGCTATTTGATATCCCATTTTGAGGATGCTGCAATGCATAACATTCTATCTCCTTAATTTAGCACATGTGAGAGTATTACTGTAGGATCGATTCCTCACAGTAGGATTATTGTGGGAAAGGGTGTGTCCACGTGTAATTTTTTTTTTGTTGAGGTATAGTTGACATATCATATTAGTTTCAGGTGCACAACATAATGATTCAGTATTTGTGTGTATTGCAGAATGATCACCACAATGTCTGGTTACCATTCATCACCATACGTAGTTATAAAATGTTTTTCTTGTGATGAGAACTTTAAAAGATCTACTCTCTTAGAAACTTTCAAATATGCAATACAGTAATATTAACTATAGTCACCATGTTGTATATTGCGTCCGCATGACTTATTTATAACTGAAAGTTTGTACCTTTTGTCTCCCTTCACCCATTTCACCCACCCTCCAACCCCTACTTCTGGCAACCACCAATCTCTGCTCTGT